TTAAGAACTACAAGGGCAATAAATAAGTCCATTGTAAATGTCTTAATATCTTTCTGCTTTTGATTTAAAGAAAAAGACTCAGCTCTAGAAACAATAGGAAAAAAGAGCATTACTTCCATATAAAGTTTTTGGTTTTACTCTTTTGCTTCTGCTAAGCACTGTTATATAAGTAATGAGCTGAGCAGAAAAACCAAATATGTTACTGGTGAAGAGTCCATAAATATAATAATAACTGCAGTTTAAGCAGTTATAGAAAAACACCTTCATAGCTAATAATTGTGTTATACATTTTTAGCCTATGAATGAATGTTAAATGTGTTGTTTTTTCATAATTAGGTAATATAAGATAGACTTTATTCATCTCAAAGTGGAGAAATTCACTTGTCATATCAGCTAAAAGTCTCAAAAACAAGGTGCCAAACGTATACATACATACACACACACATATATATATACATATATATATATATACATACACACACACATATATATACATATATATATATATATATATATATATATAGACACAGATACATACATACATACATGTATATACAAAGACATACTTTAATAATCCCAGAGGGAAATTACTTCGCTAAATATATAAATATATAGTATTGATTGCATTTAGTGTTGATTGCATTAGTACCAATAAAATAAATGTTATAACAGTGTTGTTACTGTAATATTGCCTGAGCTTTGACCCCATGATAAAAGTTTTGAATCAATTCAATTCATTTATGTAGCGCCAATTCACACCACATGCCATCTCGAGGCACTTTACAGAGGTGATTCAATCAGATCCTACAGTCACTTTAAAAAGTGAAACAATTGTACTTTCCTGAACTAAAATTGTGTTATAAAGTTAAAAGGCAGTTGGTTTACCTGTTGATTCACCAGTGTTGATCCAGTCTGGGTTTGCAATGCTGGCTATTGCAAAGATATCTGCAGCCAGGAACAGACAGCCTGAAATGATCGTCAGTTTATCCATGTCGCCTGGAGAAGAACCGAAGAGTGACCGGGGAGGGGATGAGGAGGGGCGGGTATTTAAAGGTGAACCCCCCGGCCTTTCAGAGACTCGGGGTGGGTTGTTATCTGTCCAACCTCGCCCCCTTCAACAGTCGCCTGATGCTGAGGTTCTGCTGTGCATTTCTGCAGCAACGTTAGCCCCTTCGCGTCAAGCAAGCGTGAGACCCCAGCTACAAAAGGCTCAGACGTGACGCACAAAAGCATCACATCTCAAAAGCCCCGGCTGAAGTCCAGTAATGCGAAACAAAGGCTCAGTCAGCGCTGAGGCCGCGGACAGCTCGTGTTGTGATTCGGAGCAGCCGCTGCAGCAGCATCGGGTACAGCTGCGGCTAGCAGACAGCTAGCTAGCTATTTCCAAGATTCGGGCTCGGTGAGCCGAGCTGCGGCCCAGAAGCTGCTCGATGGCATTTCACACACAATGTCACACCTACTGAGGTCCTGGGGATGAGGACGTTAGTTCCTACACTCCGAAATAGCCACCTTTCCACGCTAGGTTCACAGTTACCCGTCAGGAAAACGGGAACCCATCACCATGTCTTGCTGAATAGAGTCGGTTCTCCTTCTCCGCTGGAATAGCATCTGGTACTTTCAGTCCATTAGCCAGCCAGTCAGCTGCCTTCCTCTCCTCCCGCTCTGGACCTCTGCGAGACGTCTTTCGTTCCGACTGTGAGTTTAAGAGCTCCGGGATTAACGATGAAACGGTGTCGTTATTGTTATGTTTTCCAGCCGTGTGCCCACCACTACCTCAGCCTCTCTTTCTGCCAAATGACATCAAACGAACCCCCCCCCCATACGCAGCCTCAAACACACACAGAACAGAGGGGGGCTGCAGCTCTCTTCTCGCGAGACTTTGGAAGAATGGGGGGTTGTGTTTTCATGAGTCCCCAGGTTTGAGGCAATTATTCATCATATACAATGGTCCTATAATGCAAAACACAACAGCGTGTCACAAGTTAGAAAAAAAACACAAAATGCAGGCATACTCAGCCAAATGATATGCAAAACACAGGTTTTCATAAAAACCTGGCTTGTTTTTAAACCACACATATAAAACGGCACAATGTATACTGCAACACGTTAAGATGTTTTTCTAAAGTGGAAACAAATATTCTTGTTCATATTAAAGTGAAAAATCCAGTCTCTTCCAAATGTGTGTTTTATTGGGATTCTGAAAGACAAGTAGCCTGCATACAACATGAGGGAATGATACGTGGTAAAAAGCTTTTTTTTCTGCAAAAAGCTAAAACAGATTTGTATGTAGATGTTAGTACATAGATTGTTTATAGATGTTGGAGATCTGCCTGTTTTACAGTGTAGTCCTGTTTCTCTGACTGTGACTGGCTGGATGTGCTCTCTTCATCCTCTGACATGGGAGTTGACTCGGAGCTCATCTGACTGCCTTTGTGTTTCCTGGACTGGGCCGCCTTTTATAGTTGCTTTTTGCATCTCTGCTTCTGTCTCCTTGAACCGCAGTCGGCCTCGGCAGATAGCCGCTCACACTGAGCCTGGTTCTGCTGGAAGTTTCTTCCTGTTAAAAGGGAGTTTTTCCTCTCCACTGTCGCTACAAGCATGCTTAGTGTGAGGGATTGCATTTGAGTCAATGAGTTGATGCAATCAACTTTCCTTAGATAGAAAACTTTCAATCAATTTGACTGCATGATCTGGTGAACTGTAAAATCCCCTGAGATGACATGTATTGTGAATTGGCGCTATATAAATAAACTGAATTGAATTAGTAGAAAACAATATGTGAACGTAAACTGTAAACACTGACCCACTGGTCAAAAGGGCACAAAAGTGCATGTGTTTCCTGTGGAGGATGAGGAGAGTCCACCTGCCCCAAACCATCCTCACCACCTTCTACAGAAGTACCATAGAGAGCGTTCTGACCAGCTGTCTCACTGTGTGGTGTGGAGGCTGCAGTGTCTCAGAGTGGAAGAACGTAATAAGAGTGGTGAAAACAGCAGAGAAGATCATCTGGGCTCCTCTTCGCTCCATAAAAGACTTTTCATCCTAGCTCTGCGTGTCCCGAGCCCGTAACACCATCAATGGCCCCTCAAACCCCCACCATGGACTGTTCTCCCTGCTGTCCTCTGAGAAGAGGCTTTGCTGCATTGATTGCAGTACCAGCAGATTCCAAAACAGCTTCTTCCACACCGTCATCAGACTGCTGAACCGTTGAGAAAACTAAATCATGTCACAGACTCTGCATCACACTGACAACACCAATCCAAAACACTGGATGATTTGCACCATATATATTTAATACTCTGAACTTCCATATCAATGCAGGGAGTTTTTTTTTTTTTGTACCATGTCTTTTCTCTGACACTGTTTGCATTTGATCACTGCTACACTTTAAGAAATGGAAAGGTCATGAAAGCTGTACAAAACAAAATTTCGTTTTGTACACAATGTGTATAAAAATGACAAAAGTTGTCCAAGTGAACAGAGATTTTTAACACAAACACTGGCATTCATTCAGATTGAGGTCTAGAGTTGACAGTCTAACCCATGAAGGTATTAGAAGTTAAACATTTGCCCCAGTCTGAAGTTTTTTTGCAGCTTTTAATATATATATATTTTTTTTGATTGTGCTTTATTTTCACTAGTCATTTCTTTTGCTTCTTTGTACTTAAAATCAAACATCTTATTTTTCAGTTTCAGGGTGATGTTTTCCCCCATTTGAGCTGCGGGTGGAGACAGCTCCTGCAGTCACCAATTACCCCCTGGAAACTTCTCTAATTAATGCTTTCTTTGGTCAACTTATTTGCTTAGGCTGTCTTTTCAGGTCTGGGTAATTTTACAGTTGTTTCATGCCCCTTTTATATTTAGATGGGGAACTGAACAAAGCTCTGGATACCTTTCATAACATGACACCGACTTAAACCTGAAATGTTGTTTAAGAAACCTTCCACATTGCTCATGCATTAATGTATATATATACATACAAATATATACACATAAAGTCAGTAGAATAAACCAAGAGTTTGTATCTATGAACTGTGAAAGGACAAATGAGAGGAATTATTTTTTAGGACTTCAGAATTAAAAGACTAGATCATATAAACGTATTACGGTCAGAAAAATAACCCAAGACAGTTAATCTAACCATAAAGTTAAAAAACAAAAACAATTATACACTGAATCCAGAATGTTTTTATTTTCTTTATGTACATTTTGAAGATAATGACACTCTGAAGTGCTAAAATGTCAAAGACCAAATGGCAGGTGTTAACTCTACTGACCAAACAACCAAACATGGTGGAGCACGAATTTGGATCAACAAATCCCAAATTTGTTCAACACTCATACTTTATCTGTGTGCTTGCTTCTGGGTCCCTCCACTGGCTGAGGAACAAAACATACCTTTTCATGCATGGCAAGTGATTATTGGTAGGACACAAAAAAGCTTTCACCTCTAGTGCTTGCATAGTTTTGATGTCATGTAATACGCTGGTGGAGAATATGTTATTTCAATAATGACAGAGAGTAGTTATCTTATTAGAACTCAATCACATTAGAATAGGGCTGATTTCAGATCAAGTTGCAGAATTTACTGCTAGTACTTTCATTTACATAGATATACAATTATGCTGCCAAAAACCCCCCATAAAAGATGAAATGCATTGTGATTCTGCAGCTCACTTTCTTTTATTTATGCCGTTGCATCAACGCTGAGGTACAATAAATGATCTCTGTGATTTTATTTTTCATAATTCATCTACAAATGGTGTATTAACAAGGTGTCCACTTGCTGCCATGGTCTTCTTTCCATCAACAAATTTTTTGGCTGCCTACAAAGATAAAAGAGAACAGTTAGGGATATAATTAAAATGATTTATATCAAGTGCAATTATTTCAAAATAGCTATAAAAATCTAAATGCATTTATTGTTATAATCGAACCACAGTAAAGTTTTGCAGAAACTTCCAGCCTTGAGCGCACACATAATTAATAAAATAAAAAAAGTGTTGTGTTAAAGTCTCCACAAGCCTTGAACTTTTCTTCCATCACTATGACAACCAAAAGCAGGTGTGGGCCAGTTTAATTCACGTCTTTGTATTCAGTCCCCTTTAGGCTGATAAAAAAAATGAAATCTAAAATATCAAGAACATCCATGCAGTAAGTGAGCCACATCTGGTAGTGCTGAGAGTGAAGCTCAGTGGATGGCAGCAGGTTTACTGTGAGGATTTCTTTTTTTTCTAAGTTTAAACTGAACCTATGTCTTTAAAAATATCTGTCTTTTTCTACACTTCTTTCCAACATTTTTTGTCTCCCTCCACTGCTGATAACCATACCTGGTACCCATATATCAACAGGGAAGGTTATAATTAAACTAAGACTAGAGCCAGATATTTGTCCTGAATGAACTTAAGAAGCTTGGTCCTTGAATCACTTGAATAATTAGAGTCCAGGCATCAACATAATCTGCTGCAGCACTTAAAACTAAAACCATTTTAGTTATTCAGAATTTATTTGCAGGGTAAATGCTATCCACCCTCTGCAGAAGGCATTTGTTAATAAAAATAAGAGAAACTAGATTTCACTAAATATTGTTTTCAATAAATGTGTTACTTTCTTATAGAAAACAGAGAGAATTCAGGAGGAGAAATTTAAGAGCCCATGTTAAAAAAAGGCAAGGACATTGGCTACTTGAGCACATTACAGTTCTGTTACCATGACAACACACCTGAGGTCAAATGAAGTAGCGGAGGCGTTGCGAATAAACAAAACATCAGTTATGAAATGTTAGTCCAAACGTTGCTTCTCAATGGTTTAAATTTGTTTTTCTCATCTCCGGTTTATTTATTTGTTTTTTCATCAAACCTCCTGCCTCCAAACACAATTTAGCCATTCACACATTTTTAAAGTGAATAAAATAAGGGTTGTGGGTCATATAAAAACAAAAATGGATAAGAATATTTTAAAACAACAACAAAAAAAAAAATCTGATGATCTCTTACCTTAACAACATCATTCTTGGTGATGGCATCTATGGCCTGGAGGACGGATTCAGGAGTCTTGTAGGCTGCAGTGCTCAGAGCCTGGGCCCCGACCTCCTCCATCAGGCCCTCAGAGCTCTCTATGGACATCAAATAATCTGCTTTCACCTGGTTCCTATGCAAAACATGAAAAAAAAAGACAGTTGAAAAAATGAAAATGTGTTTGCGTATGAAAGACAACAAATTTTTTTCATTGAGCTCACTTTGCTCTGGTGATGTCTGCCTCCGTTACACTTCCCTCTGAAACACCTCTCACCTGGGCAATGGCAGCTCTTATGACCTGCAGAAACAAATACAGTTAGAATAAACTGCGTGCACATGACATCTGTCTTTTTTTATTTTTTTTTTTATTAGCTTTTTACCTCTCCAGCAGAGTTGGCTTGTGCAATGGTATAGACGCCAAAAAGCCCAGAGTCCGAGTATGAAGCATTGAAAGCAGTGGCCTAAAGACAAAAAAAGAGGATAGAGACATTAGGATGGTTGCCTTTAGGAAAAATGCAACTTTAAATATCCTAATTTCCATGCACCAATAGACAATAAAAGAATATTCTACTGGAGTAAAAAAGGTAAAAGCTGCCATAAATCCACTGAATCGGACATCCACTGCTCCTCTGCTTACATCAAATGGCTGGGCTGTAGCTTTGGCAACACCCTGGCTCAGTTTACTGGAGAGGTTGGCGCCCCGCTTCACATGAGGACTAGCTCCCAGGATCCTTTGCAGCACGGTGAAGGCATTAGCTTCAGGGGTGCCCATCACACCACCCTCGCTAACGACCAGCGCGTGGACCAGGTCATCACCATTCTGCATGCGCAGTTCACCTTCATACAAATGAACAGCGTTAATAAAACTTAGCTACAAACTTATGACATGCATTATTTTTTGCCTTAATCTATAAGTTTGCTGTTTGATTAAAAACATTGTTAAAGTGGATTGAGTGATGCATGTTTTCTCCAGTTACATGATCAAAATGAGACGATGTAACAAATGTTACACAATTCTCAATTTAAACAAAATGAGACATTCACTGAAGTATCAAGGTAATTATGGCTTCTGAATGTCCTACTGAATCTTTAAATGCATGCGTGTATCAGCCAACACAAAAAACCCAATATCGATCAAGAAACTCAATCGACTGATGTTTTGTATCTCTTCTCTTAAATTAAATAAAAACATAACTAAAAACAAAAAATCTCACACTTCCTCCATGCAGTGCCTTGACAAACCCACTAGGGGTTGCTATTTCCCAATTAAATACCTCTGCTTTGAGGAACTCAGACCTCAAGACAAATGTTAACGTTTTAGGAGTTCAATGGTCACACTTTGGTGTTTTAAGGTAAAGAGACACGAACACAAATCCAGTCAGAAATTCACACACTCATCGGGATCATGAATTTCACTTTGGGCTTGAATTATCAGGGGTCTTTTTTTGTTTGTATTTTGGTTTCAGGCTGGAATAATGATTCAACAAATGAACAAAAACTGGATGTAGTTCTGGATTATATCTAAGGTCCATCGGATTGAAACACACAAGCAAAATATTGAATGAATCCCAAACTTTTTAATAACCTGTGATTTACTGAAAGTAATGACATCTTTGTGGGACCCAGCTACAACTGTGGTTGAGTAAGGGGCCACATCTCTCTATGACATCAGCCTGTTTTGTCCCTTCAAAAAACCCTTTTGATTCGGATTACTTCTCCTTAAACAGCTTCCTTTTTAGGTTTTAAGCATGATGAAATGCTGGGTCTGTAGAGGTAAGACACTAATTAACATTTTTAATGAAAGTGTGAAAATATTCAAGCAGGAGTTTGATTAAAACCCAGTGTTTTATTCCAACCCGCCTTGGAACATTAAACCAAGTATTTGTGGTTATGCTTTTATACATTTAAATCTGACCCTGTTTGAATTAAAGAAATTTGGCAGTAAATTTCATCTATTGCTGCCATTTAGAAATACTAATAATGTTTTCTTATTGTAATATGCAGGTTACATGTTCAGTAAAGAAAACTGCAGTAAATACATCTCCAATGGCTCATTATTTTTAGCATGCATTTACCTCCACGGTATGCTGCTTTAGCCACAGGTGCTCCAGCTCCACTGTGAGCGCTCAGAAGACTCTCGCCCACCTGCCTCAGGACAGAGTGATTGACACCTGGGTACATGAATGGAACAGAGAGCCAGTTTTAAATTCATTATACTGATCAGTTCTAAGGTAGCAACCCCTTAGGACAAGCTCAAATATTGTGAAAAAAAAGTAATCAGAGTGGCACAGACAAGATAGCACTTACCTACTCCTACAAGAGCCATTCTGCCAGTGGTAAAATTATCTTTAACAAAGGAGTGAAGCTACAGGGAAGAGAAGAATAAGCAGGAAATATATGTCAGAGTTCCACATAAACTACCAAACAACTTTATCACAGCTGCACAAGCTGCAAACCTTCATAATGATCATTCAGAAAAAAGAAACAAAAGATCCAAACCTGTTCAGAGGAGACACGACCAACCATAAAGTCAGGGCAGTACAGAGAGTTGGACAAGGCGTTCTTATATGCTGCTTCATGCAACTTCTCAATTATACCTTCAACAAAAAAAGGAAAAGAAACAAAAACAAAGACAAGGCTTTTAACAAAAGACAACGCAAAACCCTATTACGTTGAAGCAACAAACTTCAGTGTCAAAGAAAATCGAAAAAAAATTTTTATTAGAGAAAAATCAGATACCTTTTGGATGAATTTAAATTTGCTTCACCCTTTGATTAAAGTCCTACATAACAAAACACAACCGCACTTTGAACACCAATCTTCGCATTGCTAAGTTCATCATTGATACCAATGGTTGTCCTTCTAAACCAAAGTTGGGGAAGAGAACAATAATAAATAGGTCCAAGGTAACTTTGAAGGATTTGCATCTGTGGAGTTGTGCTGTTGGTGGGTTTTTTTCTTCTGCAGACAACAACCCTAAACATGCAGCCATGTGGTTCAAACCAATAAAATGATCAAATGTTGTAGTCAAAGTTAAGATCAATGTTCAATTTGGAAACCAACAATTTTGGTAATCGAAAAGGTCTTTTTAATGCATCCAGAAAAATGGGGGGGGAAAACCCTTCCCTACATGTATGAAACTGGTAGAATTATGCTCTAAAACATTCATAGCTGTATTAAAGAAGTTTCTGACAAACAGTTTTCCTTCCACTTTACAGTTATAGACTACTGTGGGTTGGTTTGTCATATAAATCCTAATTAAACACAAGAGAGGTGTAACAACAAGCAAAAATGTTGAACAGTTTGCTACGCACTTATCTGTGGACACTGTTGAGCCAAAGCCTTGTCAACTTTCACCCTGGATGTCAGCTCATCTACCTCCCACGGCCGAAACTCCTGAGCTGTGGTCACGTTGACCAGAAGATCCAACAGTGAATGTCTACACAAGGTCAAACACAAAGAAATAAATCAGGTTTTTTATATATATATATATATATATATATATATATATATATATATATATATATATATATACACTGTGTGCAGTATATAGAAAGCAGAAGTAAAACATACAGGTCATCTCTCAGGCATTCTGCAGAGTAGATGATATTTTCTCTTGATCCTGTCACACTAGATGTAAAAAAAAAAAGAGAGCACAGTTGACTAAAAGTGCAAAATTTTGATAATAAGAGATAAACTGTCATAGTGACTCTTTATTCACCTCAGGCTTCCTCCCAAAGCCTCCACACTGCGACAGATCTTAAAGGCAGATGCTCCCTTTGTGGTCTACAAAAAATAAAGATAAAGACAATGCATGCATAAGCCAGATGCTGAAACATCTTTAAAGAAAAGAGTCAAATCCTCTCACACACTCTTATATACATTACCAGGTTAGCGGCAAGTCGCAGCACATGAGAAACACCCAAGTTCTCCACATTCTCATGACGACTCCCAGCTTTTACAAACACACCGACACTTGATAACGGGGAGTAGTTTTCCAGTGATGCTATCACCAGACCATTCGGCAGTTTCGACACCTGAAGGAGCAGAGAAAAACAGTGTATAAAATCAACCCATAGAGTTCCACTGCTTTTCCCATCACATTTCAGAAAAATTGAAGTGAGCAGCACCTACTTGGACATTCTGAGGTGGAAGAGGTGCAGCCTGGGCAGGTTTTACACTGGTGAGGGGTTCGATCAAAGATTGGCCGCGCCTGGTAGCAGCGTAGCAGCGTTTCTGTGGGAAATATGGACAGAAGATGAACTGTAAATATTTGCTCTATACTAGGGCTGAAACAATTAATCGGATTATTCTTGATTCATCGACTACAGAATTACGTCAACTAATTTAGTCATTGATTAATCATTCAATGGAGTATACTCTAAAACATGCCTTTAGTTGACAGAATAACCCACTTAGAGCAGTAATTATGTCAAAATTGTAAAAAAAAAAAAAAATATGTGAACACTTTGCATTTAAGATAAAAAAAAAAAAAAACATTTTAATCTCTAACATTTTAGTTCCATCTGGTTTAATTTAGTTGGTTAAGTTTGGTTGTTTGATTATTAATCAATTATCGAAAAAAACAATCAACAGATGAATCCCTTTGCAAAACAATCATTAGTTGCAGCACTACTCCATATTTTCTACTACAAAGTTATGCATAAACAATCCTAAACTTAACATGAAAATATGCTTTTGAAATTCAAACATAAATTAGAGCAAAAAGATGAATATATCCAACAGCCCTCGATTTTACTTAAAAATACACTTCTCAAAAAGTTAAACTATCATTCAGAAATGTATTTATTAGTGCAATGTTGATTAAAAATCTAAGCCCAGATGTAAAACTAATTTAAAATCTGTTGCTATTTGCTAAGCTTGAAAACTTCTGTCCACATATGCTCTCAAGTCGATCTGAAAGAGGTTGAGTAGTTTTATAAAGATAGAAATAATTAGCCTTTAGAGATGGAAAGCTAGTAGAGAGATATCCCAAAGAACTGAAACTACAGTGAAAGATGACCATACAAAGTTCTGACAACTTATTTTTTTTACTTGGAATTTTTAAATTAAAAAAAAAAAAACTTGAAAAATATACTTTTCTTGTCATTATCAGGCAATATTTGTTTTGTTCCATATCTTAAATCCCAACAAAACATTGTTATTGTTGAAGCATGACACACTTCAGAGGGGGGGGAAAAAAGACTAACTCTTTCTTTTTTTTTCTCAAATGTTTTAAAAATATTTTTGTGTTGATAAAAGTCAAATAAACTGATTTCATACGTTGAAGCAATAGCAGCTCAGTTCCTACACAGTAAAGGTTCTTCACCTAAAATAACCCAACAGGTTCCCCTTATTGACATGTTGACTACATCCTGGGAAGATGATATGGGATAGCTGTTCCAACACATCAGTAGGTTGTAACAATGTTAGAAATATGTGATCTCAGTATTTCCCTCTGACAACCTTACAATTACAACAACTAAAAAGAAACGAGCTCAGAGATGACCTTCAGGTTGCGGCTAAGCAAAAGCAACGAAATCAAATTAAACAGCATCTATCCGTTACAGGATTTGTTTTTACTGTAGGGAATAACTACTGTTATCATGTAAAATTACTGGTCTGTTTAACTGATCCAATTACACAGGCTGGTTTTACTGAACATAAGGGAAGCTAGTTAGCCATCTTGCTAATAGGTGGAGCTAAATGCTACTTCAACTTCTAACCAGGTTAAGAAAAAGAACTACACGTATTTAAGCCTTTCTTATTAAACTGCTAATAGATTAAAAAAACAACAACACAAAACTAACCGACAAATTGTTCAGAGAGCGGACTCCTTTCATGACTCCCGGTTCTCTCCTTCAGCCGGTAGAAAGACACATATGGCGGAGGACTGACCCACAATGCACAGCGCCTCACGTCACCCGGATTTCAAAATAAAATATTCGAAACAAATCTAATAAAAATGTTAATTTGTGAGTCCATTCCATGCTAGAATCGACACTTAATTTATATAGCTGATTTGGGTAAATGTTTTTTTTTTTTTATTATTATTAAGAAAATATATAAGAGGAACATGTAAATGATTTATATAACAAAATAGACATTTCTAACCATAGAAAAACAACAAAAAAATGAAATAGAATAGAAATAACATGCTGACAAAAGCTTCTGGTTTACATAATCCCAATTCACCTAGACCAGCTTGTTTGAGATATTTCAAGGCTTGTAGATGAAAAAGCACCCAAGAGTGAAAATATATCAGGTGCCTATATGTGGTCATTACAAGTTGGATCTATATTGACTGTCTATGGTTATATCTGCACATTTTATCTATTTCAGACTTGAATGTTATTATATATATATATATATATATATATATATATATATATATATATATATACACACACACACAATGTTCCTTAACAGCAGTTTGGTTTAAGTACAGTCATGTTTTATTTGGTTCCGCACATGTAGTGCTGTATATGACCAGCAGGGGGAGTCTTGTATTGACTTTCTCCTCAGTCACTACAAGCTTACATTAGCTCATTTATTCAATTGACCCCTTTTTCAGGGCTTTTACATCTACTTGTTTTTAGTTTTTGATTATTGGTTTCTAAAAAAGAAAAAACCAACAACCAAAAGGACGAAGCACATGATAATATCGGTCAATGTAATTAGAGTACTTAGATGAATCTGTTTATTAATAAAAGCATACATTTAAATAACATTTGTGAAGACAACACTTAACCAGAAAATAATTATAAATGTTAAAAATATTAAGCTTAAATAACCTAAACATACTTTTAAAATGGTCTTTCATTTAATTATACATCTTATGTTGTTACATAATATTGGTTTAATATATCCTGGAGTACTGATATGTTTCTGATACATTTCGGCTTTCATATACTGACCAAAAATATATTAGCTTTTCTCTGTAATTTGAGACCGAATTCAAAAGTATACTTTTATTATATTCCACCAAGTAAGAATTTTATTACACTTTGCTCCAAAAAAAAAATAAAAATCTGTAAGCCAAGTTTTCTTGAGGCTCTCTGCTGGAATTTTTGACAGACCAATTAAAGGGTGTTAAATGGCTTAGTGGAAGGATATTGCATTGGATTTCAATATAATGTCGAGCTAAATATAAATCTGGAAACAGTGCCATACTTTTGCCTTCAGCACCATTACTCTGACAGCCTTTAATAAAATCTAGTACATGCCACAGAACTTATACTTTAACAGAGTCCACATCTTTTATTTTGTAGATATAAAATTCTTTGGGATGGGTAAAAAAAATTAAAATAATTTTATAATGTGATATATTCAAACTCCCATGCAAACTTATATTAAAGTTATTTATTTACTGTAAATGAACTCTACATTTACCAACATGAAGTACTCGCAACATTACAAAAATAAATTCTACAGATCACAGGTTGAAAAGACAATCCTTCAGAAAATACAAAGTTTCATTACAAAAGACTGCTCACAGGTCTCCCTCCTTGCCTCGCACACCAATGGCAACATACCAAAAATAAAATAATTCACAATGTAATGTACCTCACAGAACTTTAACATCTTTAGACAGGTCTTCAAAATACATAATACAGTATGTTGGCCAGAAACTTCTTCAGTTTATGGCACCCAGATGTCAACAAGGAACCGTAAATGGTTTAACACTGAACAGAGCAAAAGTCCATACTGGTGAAGAGACTGTGGGTCAGTAACTTGAGATCCTGTGAGAAAACATCCTGGAGTAGCCAAAGTGACTCAGTGTAACTCCATAAGGCATTATATTTTAGAACCAACCGGAAAACCCAAGCTGCTCCTTTTGCGACTCCTCCAGGCTCCTTTGTCAAGCAGCCTCAACAAGCATGTTGTTATACGGTTGTTTGATGGAGCGCAAATGATCTTAAACCACTGAAGTGTTTCCACTCAATGTCAGGCTTCAGTTTTCACTTGGCGTGGCAGGACCACTGCTTATATGGACATTCTTCATCAGCTGCAGAGATGCACAGCTGAGCCAGCTACGACTGGTGGGCATCTCCCCGACAATCTCCCAGGCATCAGTTTCTTCACAGTACCGTTCAATAGTGTCATGATATCTGTACAAAGGATAAGAATAAAAAAAGGCAACAATGAAATTAGAAACTACAGATTAAGTATCTCTAAGAATTAAATCCTCAATTATAGAAAGGACTGACTCACCTGTCCCAACCCTCTTCACCTCCTAAAACATAAATCTTTCCATCCACTACAGCAGCCCCCGGCCGGTAGCGGCGCTCCTTCATGGGAGCGCACATCGTCCACTGATTGGTTTTTGGATTGAAACACTCGACTTTATCAGTGTTTTCAGTTGAGGCATGCCACCCCCCTAAAAAGCAACCATCTAATCAGAAAAGACCCCAACTTTGCGGGAAAAAACTAAAACAAGAGGAACGACAGCGTTACCTATAACGTAGAGCCTTCCTTTCAGCGTACAAGCAGCTGAACCAGACCGTGCAATCTGCATCGGGGCGACCTCTGTCCACACTGCAGTTTTGGGGTTATAGACCTGAGCGAGGTCAGTGCCGTCTCCATCCTCAAGAACTGCGCCTCCTACCAGCATCAACAGAAAACTGTTAACATTTATATCCTTATGGTTAAACATTAAGAACCTTATGCACGTTCCCTACCAGTGACGTAGAGCAAACCATCCAAGGCAACAACTGCAGGGCTTGTAACGGCCATTTTTACAGATGGTGTAAACTGCCAGGAGTTGGTGCGGGGATTGTAGCACTCCACTGAGCTCAGACGCCCTCGGCCCTCCCAGCCTCCGACGGCGTAAACAAAGCCATCCAGCATGGCTAGACCTGAAACAGACCTGCACTGTTAAAAGGCTTTTATTCAAACTGAACCACTCAGATTCATGCTTCAGAAGTGACCACCACAACACTGAGCAAGCCTTGTGTCAACAGTTTGAAACACATTTCTTTACTACTTAGACCTACTTTTAGCAGTGATTAGGGACGCGAGTAAAAAAAATAAAATAAATGAATGCATACTGAAATAAATCAGCCTGCATCTAAAATCCCCAATATAAATGAGTCGATAGTAATAATCCACTTAGATTTACCTCCTTTTAAAGTTTATGTAACTTACTGGTTACTGACAAATGGGCAAGTCTTTCTGGTGCCAATTATTGATGACTTCCACTTGATCAAGACTTTTCTGACATTCCATAACAGAAAATCAGTGATAAACTAGGTATGTTTCATCCTGATATTGTTCAATATTGTATAGGTGAATAATCAGAGCTAAAACATCATATGGGAAAGAAGAAGTTGGATTGTATAAAACAATATTTGGTGTGTGTAACTCTTGTAGGGTTATCTACTAAAACATAGATGTGTAAAAGCCTGACAGAAGGAATTTTAGTCGAAAGGTTTTGTGTTTATAGTTCATAATATTCTTGAATTCAAACCTAACAGACTGAAGCAATTAAAGATCATAACAGCTTTAATATATTAGCAAAGACCCCACAATCAAACCATAATCCCAAGTGATTAGAAACATGCTCATAAAAAAGGTCCAATGTGCCACCATCTCTTCATAATCTGTCCTATAAGTTTTAATTTGTTAAGCTGGAATATATATGAATCACACTTTAGCAGAAGGTAAGCCGTTAGTACACAGCAGGAAATACTGTGATGAGGCTTTCCTACCCAACTCAGAGCGAGCTACGTTCATAGGAGCCATCTCTATCCAGGAGTCAAAGCAGGGGTCATAGCGCCACATCTCTCTGCTGGCTGAGCCATCTGGGAACTCTCCGCCCGCCAAATATAGCGTCGAGTCTACGTAAGCATGGAGGAGAAACATGAAAAACAAACTTTCATGCTGGAGATGATTCAGCTTAGTATTTAGCAAAGGAATAAGAAAGAGCAATTAACGATTATTGCATTATAATGCAAATCGATGGATCTGTCAATTATTTTTCCTTAATAATCGGATAGCCAAGTCTTTTTATGTAATTAAACCAGGTGAAACTAAAACTATTTCACTTTTTTTTATTTTTAAGGTTTTTTTATTATTCCTTTTTTTTTTAATCTAAAATGAGATCTATATATCTTTTACAATTTTGATAAAATTACTGCTCTAAGCAGGTTTCTCTGTCAGCTAAAGGCAAGTTAAAGAGTCTCTATAATCCAGTTGACAATCAATCGATTACTAAATTAGTTGACTATTATTTAAATGATTGATCAACCCGATTGCTTCAGCTCCAGAGAGAAATTCACCTGAGACGACAAGACCGTGTTTGCTGACTGCGAAGGGCAAACAGGCCAGGTTCTTCCAATGGTTCGTCACGGGATCAAAACTCTCCACGCTGCGCAGCACCACCTTGTCGTCCTCTCCACCTACAGTCACGATCACCTCAACGGTTCCTGTTGACACAACAACAAGTGGGAGAACATAGCTGAGGCCTTGTGGCTTTAGGATGTGAACAAAACCAAAAATGTCATTCATTATCTGTGGAAAATACAATTTCACAGTTTATAGTAATTTCCCTTTTCGTGCCGCTGATGAATGAAGAATTGGACAGAAGTATTTTTAATTAAAATGCAAACAGGTAATACCTTATTTTTTTGGACCCGTCAAATTGAAAAATGACTTACTTTATTTATTGGATCACCTACACCTTTGCATGGTGATGGAGCTCTAGTTCATTAAGTGGTGGTCCCAGAAAGCTGCGTTAAGGAACCAGTTTACTGCTTCTAGTGATATAAAATAGTTTTGCACTCACTCAAAGGAAGAAAAATAATATTAAAGGATAAACACAAAAACGCGAACTCGCCAACACATCTGTGACCCTAACCTGTCCAACAAGAAAGGGTGAGCAACAGCATGAGAAGAAGCCAGTAGGCCCTTTG